ACAGCTGAAATACAAACACAAACATGTACTTACAGAGATGATATTTTCGATATACCCTTGTAAACAAGCACAAACCTACAGAAACATGCACCCCATCCGCTAGATCACGACGAGGTAACAAGAAAATAAACTGAAATCATGTGTCATGTGCATATGCACTCAACAAGCAGCATACTTGACTACCCTGGAGTATCAGATAACACCCTTGCCCCAAATACATTTTTATAGTAATTGATATGGCAAGGTGTAACGTCAAACATACGTACCCCATTCGAGCCTTCCTTGTTAATCTTAACCGGGAAGACCGGTGTACCTAAGTATACGCTCTGGTTTAAGTTATTTAAACTTCCTTGTGTCCTATATGTAATCGACACTAATCTGTCAGTGAGTCAATATGAGCATGCTTTGCATCTGTGCACTAGTTCATTGTTGCATGACGCTCTTCGCCTCTTTCAGATACAAGCCAATTAGTTCCAACGTCCTTTTACAACAATACTCTAGATATTTGACAGTTGACTTTATTTTAAAGGATAGCAAAGATTCAATTCAATTCTTTATTCTCATAAACCACCTTGGTCGTACAAGAGCATATATTGTAAACATATATACAAATACAAATTCAAATTCAAGATGGCAGTAAACAACATATTAACATTTTTTACTGACAAGAGATGATAGATGTAGGATATATTTTGATAGATTTACTTTTTACAGATAATAATTTCGTGAGCTTTGTTTCATTGGGAAGAGGTTATATGGGAGGGTAAATATTGTTTCCTCAAAGTATCTAATGCTTTGCAATGAAAAATATAATGATATTCATCTGCGATGCTTTTAGAAGTGCATAGTTGACACGCTCTCTCGTCCCTTTGAATATTATACCAGCGGCCCGTCTCAATAGGTAAACTATGGTAACATGTTACATGTTCTAAGCTTCCACGGCACTGCTGGGGGTTTAATCAACATTAATCAACATTACCAAAGCCTTGTTTCTGATACAACAAATTGCAAAAACTACAAAACAAAAACTTAATTGATAGTAGCCACACCATAACATACAACCCTGTTGTTGAACATACGTAGAAAAATAAACCGAATCCCTAACAATCGTCACCATCATTGTGCAAATGGAATCTCTTGGAGATGTAGTTTCATGTTCCTAGTGTTGCTTTATCCACACGGGGATTGGAAAGGATAGTGATTGAAGCATTCATTCATCACACCAAAGGCTCGGGTTTGAATCCCAACACTGCGTGAAGCCCATTTCTCATGTCCCGCCGTGGTGTTGCTGCATTATTGCTCAAAGACGTTCACTACCATGAGTTTGTTTTCAATTGGACATAAATGGCATATACTAAATAACTGTTAGTTTATAAACTAAATATTGTTATGAGCTCTGGAAACAAATTTACAAGGCTAAAACCAAAGTAAGGGCAGGAAATACACAACTCATATCAGTCGTGGGTACTTTTTGTCTCAAGTTGCGTTTTCCACTGCAATGAAGCAATTTATCCAGACCAGTTCTGACAACAGTATCTGCTAACACCATTCCAAACTCTGCAGGAAAAGAGCACTAGCATAAGAAGAAACTCTTAAACATCTACACATCCGTTGTCAAGTATAAGAATTAGAAAGGAATCTCATGTGTATCAAGTAGGCAAACTGTTGTCCTTTGACCTTTGTCTCCAAAACCTGTAAAAGACATTGAAGTGATGTGGAATGGACTTAAGGTGGTAATTGAAGACTGACTTCGAACCAGTCAGTCACTGACCTATCCTCCCATATTATAATGTATATTCGTAATCTGAGTCCCCAGTCTTCGAGCAGATGATCTTTAAATATCTGGTCAATGCACCAGGGATATAACAAACCACGCATTTTGCTTTTGGGGTGTATTAAAACATTCTGATGTTTGCAGAAACTACATGGCAGTCTAAAACAGGTTTCATCATGATATATAATAAATTATTTTGCAATGACAGAAACACATTCACGCATGACAGACGAAACTTGTCCTTTATTCTCCTAAATGGAACGTATAGATAACTGCACAAAAGAACAAACACAATCCAGGAAATAAAAGCTACAAGAACGGACAACATTGAATATACATGACAATATTGAAATATATACATTTGCGTGATCATATTACTGAAAAAATACAAACATGCTCTTTCCTGATGTCAATTTAGAACGCCTGAAATTGTGGGTTGGACTTGTTCTTCAGCAACCCATGCTTGTCCCCAAGGGGCAATTGCAACTAACCGGATCGGGTGGTAAGACTCGCTGACTTGCACATCAGTTGTCGTAGTTGGGTGAATTGGTCTGGTCCATGCTCGATGTTAAACAATAGCCAAACAATAAAACGTCGTTATATGACAATATAAGATCAATTATTACTATACTTGTGATGTCATAAGAGAAACCAACATTATATAATATATCAAAATATATTAGTGAGTTAACACAAAACTTAAAAGCATATAAAGTAACCCAGTTGTATTATTGGTATTCGATTCTTGAAGCTTATGTGGTGTCCGTCAAGCATGATGTACACTCATTCGTCACCAACTCGTGTTATTCCGGGACAAGCTGAATAGCGACTCGTGCCCCTCTGGAAGGATTTCATATTCGCGCATCAACATCAGAATTACTTTAAACAAGAACGATAACTCTATTCCTGTTTGATTCTTATGGTACTTCATATCACTGACTGTATTGTTGTTTTGCTTCTGTTTATATTTATTAAAGAATTAAACCTATTGGATACAACTAAAAAGGAAAAATGTCTTACATATTGGAACGTATTTATTACCAGCTGTTTACCTTATATTTCCAAATGTATATGTCTTCATAGGGTTTAAAGCTGTGTATCTGGCGATATTTTAGGCTGACGTTTTGGAGGTCATTCATACATTTTTCAGCATATTCATTGTACAATTCATCCAGGGGTTTGGCAGCAAGGTTACATGAATGTTCAGATTGAGAAATATTTTAACGTAATTTTTGAGTATCGCAAATGGGATATATTTTATTTTTATATGCAAATAGTATAATGTTTGTCATTTACATTAAATCCCAAATCAGATACTCAAAAATGGCGTTAAAATATTTCTCAATCTGACCATTTATGTTAAAGATTAAAGTTAATTGGTTATATATAGATATAATATTATTGCTTTGAAACTCGCAGCGATTTATAACTACTTTTCCTAAAAATGTTGTAAAGCGCACGTACAATCTCCCAAAAAAGATTGCCAGAAATACACGCAGTTACAATCTATATTTGTATATATATTTTATGTCTCTCATGAATCCCTAAGTGATAGGTCGTATTTATTTGTATATATTTCAATTCTTATGTATATTCATGTATGCTACGAGAGAGACAGTAATAAAATTTTTCATCTTCTTCTTCTTCTTCAGTTGGACCCATTATGCAAAACAAACGCACGTATATTTATTAATAGCTTCACATTATTTCTTCAAGCTACGTTCTTTGACATATATTTTTCATGATTTTTTAAACTATGACACAATGCCATAAACGATTTATATACTCGGGATTATTTTTATCAAAGCACCGCATTTATCACGTGCGTTCTGATTGGTTTGTCGTATTTTCGCACATAACAAGCATCGAGACGGTGACGAGTCGTCTTTCAAGTTACGGAAAGGGGCGAGTGGTGACGAATGATGTACATTATTAACCCCCAAAAGGTCACACACAAACATTCTACTACTACTGGGCACACCCATTCAACCCTAGCGACAAATCTACCAAACTCTACATGAAAACTAAGTGTCAACAAAAGGTTTAACAATACAGCACGAACACTCACATCTATTTGTATGATTCAGAAACAATTCAAGAGCAACAAGATTCTGTAGCTGAAACATAAATCTCGCAACATGATATATACTGAGGGAAACAAATATGGGAACATCACTTCATCGCAGTGTTCCTCTATTTATTCTCAGATTCTCGTCCACAGTGCGATACAAAGCTCGTGAAGATACCAGGAAAAGAATAAAGGAACACTTGCTCTTTCAAGTGTTCCCTTATTTGTTTGCCTCAGTATATATACAATGTATATATGAACACGAAGAGTTACAATACTCAATGCTCAACGTGATCGATCTGGTACTACTGACAACCCCCAACTGTGAGCGAAACTGTGACAATCGTCAAGGAGTTATTAGGCACAACATGTTATTCTGTAATCGCAATCGCTAAAATAATGCATACGAAATACTAATAAATGAACTACCAATTTCATATCATTGTAATCCATGTAGAAAATCCACAGAGACATGTGGGTCAGAATAGATACCCAGTGACATATTCGTGCCAAACATGGATGATAGCAACATTCTCCCACAATGGGACGTTGCATAAATCACAGGATAGCCTGGTCGAAACAGAGCGTGCAGTAAAACATCCAACAGACAAACGTTTCAGCTTCACAGGCCCAGTCTTATATGAATTAAAACAGTAGAAAAGGGGTAAAGTAAAGTTCACATGTCAAACGTCAAGAAGGTCGCTTTTTTAGTTTTTTAGGAGGCCTCGATTAATTGCAGTAACACTAGAACATTGAAAGTACACAAAACAATGGCGGAACACATATACCACATGTACTTGCTGCTGACAACAACCAGGACCATAACGGCTAGGGTCATGTATTCAGGGCTGAACTTTCACAAGCCTTACATTTTACAGAGAAGATGTTGAACTAGAAATACAAAATTGCTGCAACACTTGAAACACGTGAAAGCTGGGTAAAAAGATAAAAATATAATATGTCAGCAAACGAATTGCTTCTTATGGGCAGGGGTCAGGAAGAGATAAGGGGGCAAGTCATGAGCTTTCAGTCCCGTGCACTAAGACGGATCAAAATCATTTTCCCATCCACGCCTAGCTCGTCAATACAGGGATCATGTGTCAATAACATCGAGGAAACAAGAATCGTACAAATAATATATAAAAGCAATAGAGGTGATCAGACATCTTCGTAAACAGCATCATCCTGAGGAGAACTATTCGGCTCAACCGGTGTTTCATAGACCTGCATATCAAACTCCTCATAAGTTGTTTCTTTTCTTTCTCTTGTGCTTTCGTCCATGCTCTCATAAAGGACTGGAGGTGTCCGTCATCTGTAAAAAAAAACAAAACAACAGGTTTCCAAGAAATAAATGCGAGCGTATAAATAGAAATATAACAATTACAACGTATAGGGCTACCATCGCAATATGACATAATCCAGTGATCACGTCAAAGATCCGGGTTAGAACTGGTCTTCAGCAACCTTTGCTCGTCGTAAGAGGTCACTTTCAGGATCGGGTGGTCAGGTTTGCTGACCTGGTTGACACATGTCATTGTATCCCAACTGTGTAGATCTCATGCAGTTGGTCACTGGATTGTCTGGCATATAGTTGGAATATTGCTGAGTGCGGCGTTAAACAGCAAACAAACAAAACATAATCAATGACAAGTGAAGTTAAATTGACATGGAGGAATACCAACATGTATGAAGAGGAAGGATGACTACTTACCACACTGGGCCGGCGCTGTATTCCTGCAACAACAGAAGGAATATTCATTAAAATATATCAAAGAAACATAAATAGGTAAAGGATGAGCACTATTTTAATGGATAAACAACTTCTTTATTCTGTATAGGCGACGTTTCGACATAGATTCTAATGTCGAAACGTCGCCTATGCCGAATAAAGAAGTTGTATATCCATAGTAATAGTCATCATCCTTCATCTACCCAACTTCTAGAATGCCAATCAAAGAAAACATAAATAGGTGTTTGAAGTGGACGTGACGTTCTGTATCATGTCTGCATTAAGGCTTTAATATTAATGTAGATGGTCGTGTGTGTGTGTGTGTGTGTGTGTGTGTGTGTGTGTGTCGCTGTGTGTGTCGCTGTGTGTGTGTGTGTGTGTAGCGCTGTGTGTGGCTGTGTCTTGTGCGTGTGTGAATAGGGATTATAGTGTGGTCACTGATTAGGACATACAACAAAACACACAACGATATTAGATAAGTTTTACTCACTCTGTCGATTCAGGTGCCTTTGGCTTTTCTGAAAATGTATTTGAAAGGTTTCGTGACAATGTGATAACAACGTGGCTTATAATGTCTCACACGAATATTTTGGGCACTGCAGAGGTAGGCAAACAGTCGGTGATTTCTGTATGAAACCCTTCCTATGTGTAGCCTCTTATATAGCCCTTGGTCATCTAAAATAAACTTGATGACAAGGATAATGACTGACTGACTGACTGTGTTTGGTTGTACGCCGCTTTTAGCAATATTCCAGCAACATCACTTCGGGGGACACAAGAAATGGGCTTCACACATTGTGCCCATGTGGGGATTCGAACCCGGGTCTTCGGCGTGACGAGCCAACGCTTTAACCATTAGGCTACCCCACCGCCAACAAGGACAATGAAATAACAGAACTTTGTATAGCGTTCAATATAAGTGAGGTGAAATTGGGTTTAACGTCGTGCTTGAGAATATTTCGCTCATATGACAACGTGCATGCATGTGTATGTGTATGTGTAGCTGCTTGTACTAGCCCAAACTGAAGCTGGTTTTATAGTGCTAGCTCACTGAGATACCATGCCGCAGTGAAGAATGGATACCACCACTCAGACACATTATACTGACTCCGAGCCGACCAGTCCTTGTTGTACCCATTAATGCTGAGCGCCAGGCAGGGACCAACAAGTACCATATTTTAGCGTCTTTTGGTATGACGCGGCCGGGGATCGAACCCGCGACCTTCCGCTCTCCGGGCGGACGCTCTAACCACTACACCATGGAGGCGGTCTTCAATATAAGTACCAAGTCCAACCACTTTGTTGTTGGTACGTACAAATTAGTCAATCAAACCGATTAACATTGTAGCTTTGAACTGATATTTGACACCGGTAATTGTTCTGATCTTAAAAGAGGGGCGATGGGGTAGCCTAGTGGTAAAAGCGTTCGCTCGTCACGCCGAAGACCCGGGTTCGATTCCCCACATGCGTACAATGTGTGAAGCTCATGTCTGGTGTCCCCGCCGTGATATTGCTGGAATATTGCTCAAAGCAGTGTAAAACCATACACACTCTGATCTTAGCTTATTTGAACATTGATGACGTCTTTGACCCACCCGTCGTTGTGTGGCGTCTTTTCCACCATACGATGCAAACAGTCGCTGCTACGAGAAGGGGAACCAGACATATTGCCATTCCAACGCCAACGCCAACACCAACACTGAACGTGAGCCCTGAAAGTTCCACGGTAAGGGACAATGTATGTTATACTATCTGTCTCATCCTTTTCGTTATAATCAATAAAAAACCCATTCATACACAAGTCATTGTTTCAAGACTGTATAAAATGATCCACCAACACTCAAGAAAAGGAAAAGTAATATGATATCAACTCGATGGTTATAAACATCATAAGAAATTTACGCACGTCCATGTCAAAACAGGGCATCAAGCGTTTGATGAATTATTCCACCTATCGCATTGGCACACAATCAACATAACCGAGTACTCTGTTTACTGCAAAACAATTGCATGATAATGTGAAATTTGCTTACATTATATAAATCTGCGTAAATAACGGGAGAGTGAGTAAGCTCTGTTGTATACTTTAGACAACACCTTTGCATCTGTCTCATGAGAATGTTTGATTGATTCTGACACACACCAGTGGTTTAAACACCATATGGTATCACAACAAGCAATAGGACATATCAGACAAATATTAACTTATCTTAATTTGCGCAGATCGATCTTCATGCAGTTGATGACTGGATTGTCTTGTCCTACTCGAGTATTAACAGACAGCCGCCATATAGCTAGAATATTGCTGGGTGCGGCGTTAAACTAAACTCACTCACTCACTTAATTTACATCAGTTCTTGCAGCTGTCATGGAGCGTTAGGGGTCTTGTCTGACCCGAAAGCCCTATGTTGGTGTCATTCTACAAATGCTTTTCCAAAAGCTAAGAGGGATAAACAGATTGGATAATTGGCAGTCTTGGCAAGTATGTAAGCGTTATTTAAAAAGTTAATCGTAATGTTTATTACACATAGACAATTTCTTACTTTAATACAAGGCGCGAATGTCATCATCTACCTCAGGGCTAAAAGTCGGCAACAAACTGTATCTATTTTATGATAAAATTCAATTATATTCTTAATCACCTGATGTCTCGTTCTTTGTGGTACAGTGTACAAACAGGGCTGAGATTCAGATGCTATAATGAGTACTTTTGTTGAAGGCAGAACACTGAAATGGCATTCTACAAAATACGTTTCCAGCAGCACAAGGTGACAATAACGGGGCAACTGGTGCCCAGTCTTTTGCAAGACTGTAAATGTTCATTAAATCGCCTTTCTAAAAAGTTAATTATAATCCTTATTATATTTAGACAATTTCTCACTTTCACATATGACGAGAATTTCACCATCTACCTCTGGGCAGCAGACTATCTTTCTTTCAAAACATTCAAATCATTCTCAATCACCTGATATATCTTCTTTGTCAATACAGTGAACAAACAGGGTCTGGGATTTAGATGCTATCCGAGTACTTTTGTAGAAGCCAGAACACTGGATCTGGGACAGATGATCATCACAAGAGGCCGTGAATGTCGCCATGCTGACTGCGACAACTGCATTATCGTTTGTACGTGATGTTGATGTCACATCCTCTGTAAGTGTCTGATTTCCTTTCGTCCAGATGATGGTGGAGAGCGGTCGTGTCGGATTGGTCTCACACAACAACTGTGACGTCTTCATTCTCCGTCATAGCCATGGGGAGGTTTGTTGAGTTGATAATACTTATGTCCACCAGAGGGTACTGTAAATGTGTAAAGACAAGATACTTTCATATGATATAGGTTATATGATAAGCTTGGAATAATATTCTGTTTGTATTATTGGTTTGAATTATGAAATAAAGTAAACTATAGACATAACAAAGTTATCTCAAATACATGCAACATCTCTTCGAGAAATAGAATCCTTGGACAGCGCATTTCAAAAAGAAACATATGCATACATGCAATAACAACATATGTACAAAATAAGGAGTTCCCAGTAACTTAGCTTCACGAAATCTGGGTAAATAAACACTATCTACACGTGACTATTTTATACATCCAGACAAACTGCACTTATGTTGCCATCTTGCACGCTGAGTCCCAAGGTATACTCGTAGGGAAAAACAGTTCGAGTTTTGTCTTTTAGGCGAAATAGCAGTGACTATTTCTAAGGATTTGAATGGTCACAGAAATACACCGAAAGGTTTAACATGTATATATTGTGAACTGTGGTGACATTGAGATGATACGGAGCACTTATTAGCACACCCCACCTATTTCCAGTTTGTTTCATATGACACATATCACGTTTGTGAATTCTCTCACTGTAAGTACAAACTATTTTGACAATAAATTTGTTTAAGTTACGAGAGGTTAAAATAATATTATCAATCCTAGAAAACCCGCTTTCAAAAGCGGATGGAAAAGAATATTTTCGGCTTTACAACAGAATTGTTTGCAGAAAATTGAAGAAAGTTGTTTGTTTTGTGTTTTATTCATCATTGGTACATTGAAAAAGTTAAATGTCTGTATTTTACCATCGATGTGAAGCAGAGTCGAGTTCCTTCTCAGGTCGGTTTCTTCGTAGGATCCAACACAATAAATTCTCTGCATATGGAACTCTCTTGTGACTTCCATTGAAAGACGACCTACAGTAACAGTCAGTCCTCCGTCTTCACGAGTTGATGAAGAGACGCCAGTTGTTATAATGTCGTCATCCTTCATCCACGTTATGTTGGACGGTGGTTTGGTCGGGTTTGTCTCACACACCAACAACATCGTGTGGCCTTCAGTCAGATTTAGAACATGTGTTGTGGAAGTCAACAAGTTGATCGTCTTCAGTGGCACTTTGGGAGGACATAAAAAGCTGACATTACATTTATTTATATATACTTCATGAATTATTTATACGCATGTATGCATGTATGCATACAGGCGCGTGTCAGTTAAGTTCTTCAACCTACAACAGAAGACAAAAAGTCACGGTGAAGGCCGGTCGGATGACGTTATTTGGAAATATCTCTAACGGTTCTAGCCTGATTTTCATAAAGTTTCGAACTAAATGCTTATTATAAAGAATCACTGATATCATGTAAATAGTCATCGTCGATAATATCCAGGGTACACGTTCCGATACCTCTCCACACTACCCTGGATGCATCTACGGCTCAGCCCGATGATTTTATTACCTCCCTTGGTTGGTTTTATATCCAATCAGGTGTCTACGCTGGGAAGTTGAGCGTACCAATCACAACTCACTTTCGCTTTTTAAATTATCTAACCGTTTAAACTTGGCAACATAATAATATATTGTTGCAGAGGTACTCTGAAAGAGGTAGAAGGAGTTCTTGCATATATATTTTAAGATTTCAGACCTGTCAATTTGTCTGTATGTTTCCCCAAATCTGAGTCGCACTGCAAATAAACTTTCGCGGCTGCGACCGCTGTCTTTGCTGACACTGGCAAGCTCGGTTGTAAAGGCGGTTTATCTGATTGGCTACTGTGAGAATGCGGAGCCGGCAAATGGGAGGTAATAGATGCATCCAAGGTATAGTGGAGAGTTATCGAAACGTATACCCTGGAGTTTATCGAGGATGGTAAATAGTTGTAATTGTGGATATTAAGGCATACATTCCCTTTAAATAGGTAACAGTTTGAAAATGAAAACAACTTTTGTCAATTGTATTTTACGATAATTACATTTTTGTGTTCACTTATTTTTGCGTCATTGAACAGAATTCGTAAAATGCCTTGACATTACAATCACCTTATGTACAATTTCACACAGTAATCTTTTCTTGTATTTGACAAATCGCATCAACTTTTAAGTAAACTGGAAAGTACATGCAAACATAATTATAGCTGAATTATGCTAGGATTATAAACCACCAAAATAAATACCTACATAGACTTTGGATTTCTTCTAAATAAATCCTAACATTTTAGTCAAATGAAATTCAGCTGAATAAAGTGTGGAATAATCATATCTATAATAAACTGGAAAGAATTACGCTTACGCGTGGCTAGGCACTGATCGCAAACAGATTCCTGGGATGTCATCCAGTTATACACACGAAACAAACGAGTCAGGGGATTTGTCGGAGATCAGTACCAGTGCTCCTTTATGGACCATGAATGTTTCTGAGGTTGCAAAATCAGTATCTCTCCATGTTATGTAGTGAGTGAGTAAATTTAGCTTTACGCCACTTTCCAGCAATGTCAGGAGGTGGGCACCAGAATTGGACTTCATACATTTTACTAATTTTGGGAATCGAACCCAGGTCTTCGGCGTGACGATCGAGCGTTTTGACTAGGCTACTCCACCGCCTCTGTTAGTCAATGAAGCAAAAGAGTTTTCATGCTACATTTCATGTTCCAGTTATTCACTTGAATTCAGGTTCATAAACAGATCCAGTTGGATGACTGTAAATATGGGACGAGATAGGATAAAATGGTGTCTGCATACACTAAGTTTTTGAATATTTGACTCTGGGCTGGAAATAATAAAACTTTTGTTCGATATCCTGGATTTATCAATGCAATTAACATGTGAATGTTTGTCGGTACTTCATAAAATATTGCACCAACAGAATATCTAGAATCGTGGTTTGTATGACACACGTACCATTGACATCTAGGACCACCTTGTTACATGAGGTCCTTTCAGTGAATGCGAATATGGGACGAACTAGGATTAAACGGTGCCTGAAGATTAACTTGTATTCATATTTTTACTCTAAACCGGAAATAATTATTTTTGTGCAATAGAAGATATACCAAAGGCAGAAAACCTGCCAAATGTTTTTCGGTACTTCATTGAACATTGCACCAACATAATATCTCTATCCGTGATTGGTCTAACACTTACCATTGACGTCAAGGACTACCGTGTTGCTCCTCTCACCAAAGGTTCGGCTAAACATGCAGTTCGAATTCTGATGTGTGCGGTAATCGACGTCAAGAATTGTCAGAGTGAATGGGCCGTCTTGCGGACATGTGAAGTTATACATATCCGACGGGTAGAAATGATATCTGCAGTCGTCATCATTGTGTGTTCCCACTCTGAATGAAGACGTTCCGTTTTGGTAATTGTGCAGTCCAGTGGACTTCAATAGTAATTCGAAAATCGTTTCTGCAGGTGAAAGCGAATGGTTGGCCAGCGACTGCAGTAAGGGAGGACCCTGTCAGGTATACTCGTCCTGTGGGAGAAGGTGTGAGATGTGACTGAAATCATCGACATGACGAGAGTTACAGGTATCGATTGTTAATGCATGCTTCCATACACAACATTACGCTAACTGGAGTTACACATCCCTACTCGTCCGATTCCAGTATGTTATGACATCGTGTATATATAGGTGGAGATAAACACCACAACCAAACCGCCATATAACTGAGGAGGAGAATTATATGAAAGCATAATGAGTATGAAGTAGTTATTACCTTCACAGATTCCTGCAAGGACCGCAAACAGAAGAAGGCATATCCCTGTCATATTCTGCAAAGGAAATTGTACGTATCAAATACTGATACAACATATTGAATATCAACATGTATTCTGGCTAAATGGGTGAAATCAAACCTGTCGTCATGAGGTAATTTGGTATGGTGGTGGTGACATGGTGTTCAGGATTATTGCACAAATACAACAAGGTGCATGTGGTACAAAAACACGGTTAAAACTGCAACATAATGGCATACCACCCCCATGCTTATTATATGACGTAAAAGGACTGAATATATACTCCCTATCAAAACTTTAGACTCACTAGTGTAAATGTAGCCAATGTACTTCAGTCAAACTGTTCTAAACTAGATTTTGTTAAATATTCCATACTGGTTTAAAGGTACTGTTTACAAAATGAACTGATGCACTTTTAAACAAATTGTAACGTTGAAAGATTATTGTCACGTGTTCAATAAATGATGAAACTCTGTGAAAATTGATGAATTCTTAACAAAGCTTACGCAAAACGCAGCTGTTCACGCATGATATTTTCACATGATTTTCAGCATTTTCATGAGTGAACCACATCCAGTTCAGCTGGTTCCCCTAGTTAGTGGAAATTTATCTTCAAATGTAACCATGCATATATTCATAACATAGTGAGTCTAAACTTTTGATGGGTAGTATATGTTGGCAGTTGGTAGGTTTGGTGTACCTGCTGTGACCACCGTATTCGATCGTATTCGACGTATCGATTTGCTGAGTTGTCCACACAAACATGTATGTAATCAGCTGATATACCCACATGAACATCTACTTCTTAGTCAATATATTCACATAAGACATGTTCTTCCTTGGCTGACATGCACACATAAACACTAGAGATCCCAGCTGGTATGCTCTCTTTTAGCTGGGCCATTTCCATAAATGGCAGCCTGGGATTGCCTTGCCTGGCAGAAGCTTTGCTTATTCGGGAGTGGTGTCATTTCGTGGGGTAGGCGTTGGACGCGGGAGGGTCCAGGCAGGCTGCCTGGTGGTGCCTGGGCAAATGTGGCTGCGACAGTGTTCAAGCGTGGTTGCCTATAAATGACTGGGATGGAGTGTGAATCCTCATGGCTTCTTTCCTGGGTTGCTGGAACCGTTGTCTGACGTGCCTGGGTTGGTAGTGTTTGAGACCATCATTGATGGCATGGGGTAAGCGGCAACGACTTTGAATGACCTTGTGCATGCATGCCATCTCAGGACCGAGACTTCCTCAAAGCCATTTTGGACCGTGGCATTCACAGTTTTCACTATGAGAACCATAGCAGACAGGCCAGCAGCATGGGCGTGGAGGCTGCGGTTTCATCAGACGCTGAGGCTTCAAGGCTCGGCACTTGGTATCTGGTGGCTGCAGCTGAGCCGGGATCTGTGACATATCGCCTATCAGGCCATGCATAGCCCTGGACTAGGGCATGATGAGCTGCTTGGGAATGCATGTTGAGGAACGTTGGGTGGCTCATTCAAACCGACTATGGAACCGGCTGCAAACATCGGGCCGTGCCATCTGGGAACAGGCCTTTACTGAGTCCTGGGCGTTTCGATTTCAGATCCGGTGGCTTCCATGATGAACATCCCAACAAAGGCGAAATCAATTGCCAGTGGCAGGATGGCAGGAACGATATCGTCCATTGTCTGGGAAACACAAACCGGCATGGAACGATATGAAATGAAAATCATGGAAGGATTCAATTAAGTGAAATGGATTGGCAAATGTGCTGAATAGCAGAACGAGAATATGCTGGTGGGCTTCGACACGGCGCAGAGGTTTGTGATGCGGTGTTCGCTGCGACTGCAAAACGAAATTCGCGGCAGAATGATCTTTGAATAGACCGGCGGTACTTCCGCTCCTGCTCACAGGGGCTGCGTTGTACCGTCTTCTCGTTGTGGTGCTGATCGCCAAGCGGCGTAGAATAAAACCAGCTCTTTGAACTTCAGAGCCAGTCTTCACTGGATGACTACTAGATCCCACACGATGCATGTCGTTAGTGATTTCTTTCCAACAGGGCATATTCAAAGAGAGCCGAGAACTCTACTTTTCGCCCGTCAGGGATACAGATCTCAAAACCACAGAACATGTTTGTGACAAGACGGGTCATAAGAGATTCGCCAGAAAGATATCCCAACATGCAATTATGATGCATTTGAATACTCCCCTCCACCAAAATGAAACGCAGTACCTCAACGTCAATTCTGCACTTCTGAGGAGGGTCAAAGGATGTTGCAGTCAGTGGAGCTTGCACCAGATAATGACATTGTCCTCAAGGTATTGATACTTTTATGTGGTTTCTTGAGGTCAGGAATACCTGAATCTTGAAAATGAACACGTTTATTTAAAATCCTGAATTCATCTCGCAGTCCCTAGTTTTCTTATTATTTCCCTACTACTTGGCCTCCCCGCAATGCCGAAGCCCTTAGTTACGTTCAGGAATCTTCTATCGAAGCCAGGGCTCATGCCAATTTGATACGGTTTATTTTGTTACTAGCAAATATATATATATATATATATATATATATTCAGAAGTCTGCCTAGGTTAAAGAACCATATGACCAAAGTTAACAGCACAACAAAAGGGTCAAATTGGGGCTCCATGTTTATAAATGTTAAATGTTGGAAATGTGGGAGGGTTGGCTTACCGTTGGCATTACATGCAGGAGGTAAGCTGGTGTAAATTCCCTCACGGGAACATCGAGGAATGTTTTCCACAGACCAAAGGGGTGAACGGTATATAAAAAAACTACAAGACAGAAAATATATGACAAATGATTTTACTGTTGAAGACTCTGGCCATACATGTGAAATCTGCTGTTGTTCTGATCAGCGATTTAGAGCCGTCATATGTTCCTGGCATTAAAATGGAGCTTCTGAACAGACTTAATAGGTGCTACCACATCCACAACTCTGGGGCCACGAAATGCAAAGAATATCACCTGAAAACCAAACTAATCTCATCATCAATGTTCATGATATTGCTTTGATTTGCAGTTCCATATACAAGAGTGTACTTAGAATTTGTGCGTGACGAGATTGTTTTACTTTCCCGGTACTGCATCGAAACGCGCTTCATTCTGGAAGGAAGTCTGCAAGTATCAATTCTGTGCTGGGGTGACTGTTATTTTATCTGATATTTTCACAGATTGTGGGTGGTGAATTCCCGCCAACATTTCATGACGAGCACAATTAATAAGTCATGACGTACTACCATTCTTCTCAAAGGCTACTCACTTCTGGCCAGTGATAACTTAGAGATGTATATGAACATAATAGCCTTGAGATCAAGGTTTAGTTATTATGAACCATATCTTTTAACCAGAATGGAAATGCTTTATCATGACTTATTAGTATTAACTCGTCGATGATAATGTGATATAATCTTGTCGAAAGAATAAGGCCTCCAGAAGATAAGCGCCTTTAATTACGTACTGAAAGGCGAAATAAGCAATCTTGTCAATCACCTGAACGCTACTGTATCGGGCTGCAAATCAGAAACTTTTATTATCATGAACATTGATAGACGAGATTTCTTTATTTATTGACTGAAAGTGTGATATTGGCGAAATGTTTTGTTCGCCTTTATGCCGGAAGGAACACTATGACGGTTTCTGAATGCGATCAACGGGGGCTTCAGCAATGACCCGGAAGTCAACGACAAAATGTTTGTCTGACCTGCTGTCTTTAACCAGTTTTATATAATGTTCGCCGCTGACGTTAACTTCAGATGGCTGCAATGATTCCGCCAGCTACTAAATGAACAGGATGACAGTCAACATTTGTTATAATGAACTGAATTGCTGACCGATAACTGATAACTGATCGCTGTAACGCTGATAACTGCATATGTATATGTATATATTTGCTGGTAATATCAAACTATTTCCGTGAAGGCATGGTTGAAGATTCACGGGCTTTGTCGAAGATTAGAGACTCATGGCTATCAATTGTTACCGGAGACCGGCAATTCGGGCTTTAGATTTTAACGTGTTCATACGAATTCCGGTGGCGACATCCGCAAAGGGACGTACTGCAGCCTTCGGCATGGCTCACCGACATCTACTCACTCGAAATGCGCGTTTCGTGTCAAAATGCATCGTAATTGCGTAACGAGTCTCTTCCTGGCGAATTCTTATGACCCGTGTCGCAAACATGCTCTGTGAACGCAGTCTGTATCTGCTGCGCCTCTTGAGCATCGCCCTGTTGAAAAGAAGTCGCGACATGCGGTGTGCTGACGCTGTGTTCGGTGTTGGGCACCCCGCCAACTTTCGACCCGGCACTGCCGGCTGTTCCGGAAAGTGATGCAACGGCCTGTATGGATGTAATTATTACCGTTGACTTATTCAGGCATTGTCTGGAACAATGTTTGTTCGAGTTTGCGATGCATGTTGAAGAACACCCGCCGTCAATCCCGCGCCTTTTGACTCTTACATGAAGCGTCATATAATCTTGTTAACATATGGATAACGAACGTGCGATAATGGCTGGCGATTTCTTGGACAACGGCAACGGCGTCGCGCTGTTGAAGTTTTCAAACGGTCTGATGTTCAATGAAGATCGATGATGCGCGGCAGCCATGACACCCGGCGTTTCCCTGATGGTGCAGCTCCCCTATGCGTCGCGATAACGTAACATGCATCGATGATAAACGATCCCGTGTTGAGGCATTTGAATGCTGAAACAGACACCGGTTTGAAGGGACGACAAACGACCCACGTCACGTTAATCTGCTGCCCACCCATATCATGAAAACGTATCTCTGACGAGGAAAACTTTGAATGCCATCCGTTTCATCCATACGCATAGCTTTACGCAGTGCTTTGGAGACTGAGATGTCGGACAGTGTATGCGGCTGGCATGTCGACCAGCCGTCTGTCGGCGGTTACTGCCCGCTCATCGATAGACATCAGCATAACCGGGCGCTGTGTCGGATCGACCAGGCCAGGCGAAGAGCACCAGCGGAAGGTCACTCGACACGAACGTGCGTTAAGGAGTGACGACCCTTACGAGCGTTGTGGCGAA